AATAGGGGGAGCAGCGGCCCCGGGGAGGAAGGGGGGCTCGGGAGGGCGGCCGCGGGGTCGGAGCATCTCCACTCCCGCAGCAACTCCGGAGCGTGTTGCTCCGGAGCAGAGCGGCCGCCCGAGCCGTTCCGGGGTCCCCCCCGTGCTGGGGACCCCCGGGGCTCCAGCCCGCCTGCCTGGCACTGCCAGCTAGAGAGCGGGGAGAGGTGTAAGCGGCTGCGATGGAAAATGTCTGGATGTGGACAATACTCAGTCCTGTTCCTAGAGCCAAATGGTGAATGCAGGGGAAGGGGCTGAGCGGGGAGAACAGTGTAGTAAAGCAAAATCAAATTTCCCCCTGAATCCTGCAGCCAGGCCTAATGGGCACTGATGCTGTGTCGGGGTGGGGAGGGAAAGGAGTTTTGGGGGCTGCAGTCTCTGAGGCTGGTATGGGAGGAAAGGGAAAAGAGCTGCAGATCTTTCCTCCTCCCCCCAGAGTTACTAGAACTGAGATATGGATCATTAAAAAGGAGTAGCATAATGTAATTAAGCATTAGACAGTCCCCACTGCAACATTTATCCATTGTTCCTCGCTCTGCCTTCTGCCAGAACAATTCTCATCTGGAAAAGAGAAGTATAATTGAACAAATAGTTCATTTCCCTGGCCAATTGCATCCGTAGTCTCTCCCCTGAATCTGCTGCTGGGTGGCTGCAAACGCAGCAGCGTCCTCAGACAGAAAGGGAGAACTGGGACCCTCTGGTGAGACTCGTGGGCTAGCCGGCAAAAGCAGCTCCGAGTGGCTGCTCACCTGAGTTGTTCTGATGACAGCAGCAGAGCAGGTTTGCTCCCTCACCTCTTGGTCCTCTTAGCTTCCTTGTGGGAAGTGTGAAGAAGAAAAATAACAGGTGGTGAGGCAGGTCCAGCCTACAACTAGAAGATGCTACGTGTGTTTCAGGCAAGTCTCCTCCTTTCCGTAGTCTGTCTCTTAACTTTCTCTTTACCTGGGAGGATAAAGGATTTCAGGCTGTTTTGAGGTGGTGCTGTTTTGGTGGAATTTGCCAGCCTGCCCTTCAGCCTGTGCCTGTGGTGGCTGGGTGCCCTGCAGCACGTGCACACACATGCACAGAGGCAGGAGTGCGCGAGCCTGACACTCCTGCTCTTTTCCCGAAGACCTCTGAGCAGCTGAAGGGGTTGCAGCTGCACCTGGGCCCCATGGCACATGCTTGGCTGGAGGCTTCATCCTTTCCCTGGAATCTCCTCCTGATTTGCAGCGTACAGCAGAGCTCAGTGCATGGGTATGCACAGATGCACTCTCCACACTGCTGCGAGACATGCTCAGCACTGGGAGGCTGCTGCTTTTCCTCGCTTCTGGAGCTTCTTATCACAAGTCCGCATCATGCAGCTTTCCTCCTTCTGTTCTTTCTCCTTTCCTCTTTTTTCTTTGTCTGTAGACTGACACCTGTCCCACTTCAGTCTCAGCTTCTCCTCTGTCTTTTCCTGCTTAATTCATTCTTTCACCTCAGTTTCTTTTTCTCTAAGTCGACCTTGTCCTCTTCAGACTGCTTCTCTCAACACTGGAGAAGCAGCCCAGCCCCTCATCTCAGTAGGAGTATTCCTGCCAACTGTTTATGAAAAGTAGCACAATACCCAGGCTGAACACTGACATAATTACATACCCAGCCAGAGAGTATAGTAAATAATCCTGCCTTTCAAGTTTTTGCCCAGTGGTGAGTCTTCTGCCATTACCTTTGCCCATGGGCTAAATGTATTATACTTCCTTGCATTTACTTATATTCTGGAAACACGCAGTCAGTGCACAGATACATGGTATCAAAGTGGATGTATGTTGGTGTCTTGCACCATATACACTTACTGTGCCTGTACGCATTGTGTGTCTGAATATGCATATGGCTCTGCTCCTGGATTGAGGCTTTGACAATCATGCTTGGCAAGTGCGAGGGCTGTCAGGGAAGGAACAATTGCTGAGGTGCGGATATTGTTCCATCGGTGAAAGAAAGATGGCTGTGGGGTGAAGGTCAAGAGCGCCAGCAAAAAACGCAGGGCTTGGCTAGCTGTGTTTGCGTTGGTTAGGGTGCTAGCTAGTTTTACAAGGATTTGTGTGTACGTATGATTGCAGACTGTGGGTATTGTCAGCACGGTTGTATTTCTAGTTGTGCTTGTGAGCCGGAGTCAGTCTGCAGTTGCTTTGATTGTGAGTCAGTCTGTCTGCAGTTGCAGTAGCCTGTGAATCAGTGTCTGCCTGTAATTATGTGGGTGAATCAGTGTTGGCTTGTTACACTTTGAGTGCAAACGGTTTCCTGTAGCGGTTGTGGGTGTGAATCACTCTACAGTCCCTCTGGATGTGTTTTTGAGTAGAGAGATGCAATACTGGGATTAATTTTGTTTTGATGAGGAAAAACTGTCAAGCAGCTTCTCATTTTAAAGAATTAAAGCTGGGTTGGGAGTTGGGCACAGAGCTTGTTTCTCTGTTACCAGCTTTCTACAGAAAAGATCCACTTTAAGGCTTGCTCCCAAGATTTCCATGTTGATCTGAACCTTTAATTTGCCTTGTGCCTCTGGTTCCGAGTGTCCTCTTTTGCTGGCATCTTTTGCAGAGCTGCAGACAATGCATTTGGTAACCATCACGTGTGCCTCATACCTTATGTGTTTGGCAGATTCATGGGAAGGTTGTTTATGGCTTGTGTAGTGTGTGTGTGTTTGTGGGGATGAGCCAATGTGTGCCTCTTGGGTAGGTAAGCACAAACATTTTCATGCTTGTGAGTTGAAGACTGTGTGGTTCCTCTGCCATGTGCCTCTTGCTGTGAGACAGTGCTGTTTCTCTAAGTAGATGGTAAACAACAAGTTTGATTCAGGTAGGCGGAGGTACTGCTGCCTGTTTCTTGTTCTCTGATTCCTATAAAACGCTGTAGTAGCTTCCGGCCTTCAGCAGCACCTGTACGGCACAAAGCAGCACTAAACTGAGAGGCAAGTCGGAGAAATCCGGGCTATCTCAGATGATGGAAGCAGAGCACTCCCCTCGGTCCAAGTTAACCAAGCCTTCCCCCTGAGCTGGCTGGCGCAGGTAGAGCACAATGCTGGCAAGGCTGGACTGCTTCCAGTACGCACCGGCTTGTGCGTCTCTGCGTTGTGCAGTGTATGTGTGCATCCCAGTTAGCTCATTTCAGAACAAAGGGATGCAAACAACCAGTAGGACAAGGGTCTTGTGAAACACCACAGTGTCTTATTCCATCATTTCCAGGCTTCCAGATGAACCGTATCTGCTCATTGCTGCTCCTGCCTTCAAAGAAAAAGATAGTTTTATTCCAAGGGACCCTTCTTTTTAGCTGAAGTGATTAAGAACTGAAGCAAAACCTCCCCAACAGGGACACAGGGCAGCATGTGCACTGCTGCATTTATTGCTGCTGCACTGAGCGCTTGCTGGCTGCCCATCTCTGCAGAGGGTGCTTGGAGCTTTACCCGAAGAAACGCTAAAAGAGGCATAGCAGTGATCACCACAAGGCTGGTGTGCTCACAGAGGATCAGGGACAGTTGGGCAGAGCACAGCCCATGCAGTTTGGATGAGTTTGGAATCATTAAAAGGTGTTGAAGGACCCCTCCTGATGCCTGGGACCTGTTTTGCAGAGGCTCCAGTGCAATGAGGAAGGGCTTTAAGGAGCTGCTTCTGCTGTGCAAGTGCACCTGACTTTGTGGGTAAATATGCAGGTGTTGTGAGGTCACCTATAGTGCTGTGTTTGGCTGTGCTACTGTGCAGGTGGGTGGATGTGCTTGGCACCCACTGGGTCTAGATCACCCTCTTCTCCCTGCATGGAAGTGCTTGTATCTGGGCTTTTGGACTGAGGCTGCCTCTACTTCCCAGTCTGTTTTCCAGCTGGCTTCCCAGCATCAGCTCCTCATTGCACACCGCTCCCTGAGATACCTGACTTGGCAAAGATGTGGAGCAGCTACAGGTCCTGGGGGTTGTGGGCTGAATGAGAGGTGTAAGTGCTCAGCACTCCTTCAGCTGATGCCACTGGTGTAGGTGCACGGCATGTGGGCCTGCCGACCTAAGTACACTGCAGGTAAACAGCATCTCTGGGTGCAGTGATGGGGCAAATATGTCCTTTGGTCTGCTTCATGAATGCCATCTGCACTATGAGACTATTGCTAAGTGAATCAGATTGTTCCCTTGGCTGTGCATGTTCCAAGGAGGCAGTAATTTGGGAGAGATACTTATGTGACACTCACAAATGTACCCAGGTAGGTTTATGGGCCTCTTCTGTCTTCATTCCCTTTCTGATGCTTGCAGTCTCCCCCTCTCTGGGCTGTTCTCCCAGAGTTTTTTGCAAGCTTTACCTTTCAGTCTCCACCTCCGGAGCTCTATCTGTCTTTCCCTTGTCAGCAGTAAGCCTGTGCTAATCACTCTTTCCTAGGAAGGCATTTCAGAATATTTAATGGTTTCTAGAATAAGGATTTCTGAAAAGATCAGGCTCAGTATGCCAAGTCAAGAGATACCCTAGTAACTATGTTAACGTTGGGTACCTTGCTGATCTGCAATGTACCAGCACTTTTTTTGTTCTCAAACTCACCTCAGTAGGAGCAGGGGCTTGAGCATGTTGCTGTCTCGGGGAGAAGGAAGCTTTTCCAAATCCTCGTTCCAAAACTGCACATCCAACAGGAAGGCTGTATTTCTCAGGAGTGTTGTTATGCTATGATGCTCTGGAGATTGGACAGACTGTGTGTGCTGGAGAGGAGTGGGTATGTTTATGATGCCTTTAGGTATGTGGTTATAAAGAGACCTGCCAAAATCCAGAGTGCACAGAATTGTAAACTTCAAGTATTGCTGGATTCCAGCTGCAAAGTGTTAGCAGGGCTCCTTAGAAAAATCTGCATTTCATTCAGCTGTGGAGGTTACCAGCAACTGCAGAATTAGTGATGAATGCATTTGCTAACTGTGCCATTAAGAAATGAGCAATGGACAGATGGAGGAAGGAAGTGCAGAGCTGCTTTGAACACATACCATCCCTATAGGCTCCATCTTGCATAGGCATAGTCGAGAACCAGAAGCTATAGGGTGATGTTCTTTAATTTATGTGAAAGAGGGGTCAGTCTAGGGAGTTGTACCACTCTTTTCTGAGCTTAGAAATCTTTGCATTTTGCTTTTTTCTTCATGGACACTATGCAGTTTCCTTTCAGCAAGACCTAGTAAGAGATTTTGGGGTGTTTTCTTTTTTGAGACTATTACCATCCAATTAACATTCCTAAACCCTCACTGGGTAACATGCAGTTAAGTGCATGTTGCCTGCATCCTCCCTTCCCTTCCCAGAGGATCAGGGATCCCTACAGGTATTCAGATCAAGATGCTGACTGTTTCAGAGCCTTCCTGAGTGGGAAGTGACAGCTGAATAGCATTTTGTTTAAGCACCTTCTGCAAGGACAGCACCAGTTCGGGCTGGAGGAGCCCCAGTGTTACTCTTCCTGAGCCACACTTGTGGGTGTTTCCATTCCTTTCCTTTGCTCAACATGGTGCACACCAAGGGACCCCTTCCTGCCTGCTCTGCTGCGAGTAGTAACTGCTATGGGGCAGGCAGTCCTCTCCAAGAGCAGCTCTTTTGTGCTAAAATCTGAGGAGCTCAGTTACTGGGCTGTTGAAACCAGGACTGGTTTTACAAACCTGCCAGGCCAGAAACCTTGTTATTAGAGAGGCTGTGTGGCCAGTAGCTACCGGGCTTATAAAGCACTTGTAGCGGCTGAGATTTTCTGTGTCCCTGTGGTTGGTGCAAGAGGCCTGGACTAGCAAGAGCCCCAGGAAAGGGGAGAGGTGATGCTGTTGTGCCATGGGGACCACACTAGGCTCTGACTATGGGGAGCTTTGGAAGATCCCTTAAACTGTATGAAGGGTGAAACCTCCTCCTCTGCAAAAGCCTCTTTGTGTCCTCCAGAGACACGTTTCCTGCCTGGCAATAGGGTGATGAGCACCAGCACTGGAAGGTGGTTGTTCCTTCTGCTTCTCCCCCAGCACTGCCTGGCTAGCTGTGGCTCAATGTAACAAGGCTACCAGGGTTCATCACCAACAGTTAAAGCCCCTGTGTTAATTGGGAACGTCAACTACAATCCTCAGGACCGGGTCTGCTTCTCAATCCATCTCTAAGTGTAAAGGAGCCAAAGAACAAGGAAAATGCCATGCAGCCTCTCCTATCCAGCTCCCCAGGAAAAATACGATACAAGAACCAAAGGAGAATGGTAGAAAACAGTGCCAAGCTATTTTCCATGCTGTGTTGTCCTTCCTGAGTCCATAAGTGCAGCCATAGCAAACCAGCCATCCATGTACTCTCACACGCCTTTTGGGGGCATTCTCTGTGCTGGCAAACCGAGCCATGGCTGGCAAAGTAATCACTTGGGCAAGTAGTGAAAACAGATTTTTCTCCCAGTGCAGGTATGTAGAACTCATTCTGATGCTTAAAATGACTTAAGCATGTATTTAACTTTATTCAAGCAGCCCTGTTATCCTTAGCTAGCACGTTCCTCAACAGAACTATCCAAAGTAGAAAATTGGCCCTTCATCTCCACATAATATTGAAGGAAAACCGTATGAACAAGGTTTGGTGGAAATGTGGTTGTTTAGAGCTTCTTGGCATGGACAGGCATGCCTTATACACACATACATGGAAGGTGTAAGTGCTTCTGGCTTTTGTCACTGTCCCTGACCCTATCTCTTTCTGGATTATCTTGCTGCCTCATTTTCTGGTCCTCTTTCCTTTAGCTGCTCTGTCCCACTTTTGGTGTGTAATCTCCCCAGCCCATGGTCTCACCAAATCTCATAAAGATGGTCCAAAATGTTCTAGAGGAGCCAGAACAGTTCCTGCAGAGTTAGGAGGCACCTGCTGCAAAACTAGAGAGTCCTCATTTGTGTGGATATCCCTGGTCAAAAACTGCTGGCAGGGCAAATTCTGCCAAAACAAACTATTTATTGAAATCAGCAGTTGAATGGGAAAGTGTTGATTTCAATGAAATTTTTCAATGATGCTGTGGGGAGGGGAGAGGGAAGCCAGCAAGGTTCTTTTTTTGCTTTTGGCTAGTGTTAGAAATTGCCTTAGGAAAAAAAAAATCAATTAAATCTTATTGTATAATATGCATGTTTAAGTGAAATGAAAGGGAAAAGTTGAAAGGAAATCTGTTGATGAGCTGCTAATTGAAGGAGTTTTGAATTTGTCTTGTAAGAAACATCAATGTTTTAGTTGTCCTTGTGATTTGGAACGAGTCTCCCCTAACTGTTGGAATTTCCCACAGAACAGATGTTCAGCCTCTTAATTTGTGCTTCATCAGCAAATACTTAAATTTCCAAGACTGTGTGTCCCTTCTCAGTTGGAGGGTGGCAGGAGCCAGAAGAGCCATCCCGAATCAGGGCTTGTCTCACCAGAGATGTAAATGTGCCCATGCCAGAAGGCTCCTGCAGCCTCCAGTAAGCGTGTGCTCCTTTGGTGTGAAGGCTATGCTTCTGTAGGTAGCATCCTGATTAAATAAGGCCTGAGCACACCAGCAAATGCTCATATGCACAAAATTAATCCATGCACTGATATTTGCAAGGATTTTGAGTGATGGGGAAGAAGATAAAGGTAACACATGTCTGAAGTATGCTCTATGCAAGGCAATGCTAGGGCTCAACGCTATTTTTTTTTTCCTGTGCCTGCTATTAGCGAATATCTTGCCAGAACAAAAGGTGAGGTGGGTGGGTAAAGACTTGTAGTGTCTGGCTCTTACCTTCTGCCTGTGTGGCAGCTCATGTCCTCCTAGAGCTGTACTGAGCTAAAAAGCAAGGATCAGGCACAGCATCCAGGAAGATTGTAGGGCCAAAATGTTGTGGGGTGACCAGGGGCAGCTAAATGCAGAATTGTGGCATAATACATGACCCAGCCTGGCCTTGTGCCCCTCTCCTCTTCCAGTCGTCTGTGGCAGGGGTAGCCAGATACACATCACTGCACATACATGATATACATGAAATACATGATATCCAGGTGTTTCCACCCTGCTTGGCTGAGCTCCCTGCTCTCCCTGCATGGGATTTCTGCAGGGGGTTCCCATCTCCCATGTCTGTGTACAGAAACCCCTGCTCCTTGGTAGCACTTGCATAACTTGCCTGTCCCCTTCATCCTGGGGCACCCTCTGCTATCTGAGAAATGCTGTTCAGGTGCTGGGGTTTGGCTTTCAGCCCAGCATCTCCTTCATTGCTGGAAAGAGCTGCCTGAGACTCTGCAATGTTGGTGCCTATTGAGTGGGGAAATCCAGAGGTAGGATTTGGCTGGCAGCAGCACCTTGCCCTGGTTTCTGTAGGCTGTGATTGAAGGGAGCCTTCATTTATGGCTTTGGGGGCTCACGCTGGCTGGTTGTCCCTGGCTGCTGCAGTGCTGAGCCTGTGCTGGGCTGAATCCTGTGTGTGCCAGACATGAGGTGTTGTGTTGGGGAGACATCACAACAAGCTGTATTTATACAGGCTGTTGCTTGGCAGTGCTGTTCCAAGGTGCATCAACATAATGAGATACATAAAAGGGGAAGGCAGTTAAATGTGCAGTAACATCACAATAAAAGTAAAACTGAGCATTAATGAAAAATCTGAGCACGCTAAGTGCAGTACAGTCAAACACTTCCACTACCTTGGGCCTCAATGTCCAAACTTAATAATTTCTGGCAGTGTCATTACCAGAATTAAATGAGGGCCTAACTCTCCAGAAAAAAATGTTTGGAAAAAATGGGTCTTGAGACTTTGCAGGTGGTTCTGCTGTGTAGGTGTCCCCAAGGCAGCACAGGTAGTGGGGGGAGCTGGGAACTGCTGCAAGGGGAGGGCAGTGACTGAAAGTACAGGGTGAGGAGGAGGAGGAAGCAATGGGTGGAAGAAGAACCAGTACGGTAGTTTTGGAAGTGGAGCTATGCACTTGCTGCCAGGTGCTGAAGCACCTGGGGAGCTGCTGGATGTGCTGTGAAGATGAGGTAAGGGTTTGCACGTGTACGTACACACTTGGCTCTGACCCTATGCTGTGACTTCCCTAGGGCCAGCAGTGCTGCAGGGGATGCTGCTGCCTTTGGTCCCCGGGGGGTGGGGGTGGGGGGTGTCTCTGGGACTTCAAATACAGGACCCCAGAAATACTGACTGCTGGCTAACATGGATGAACTGCTGAGAAAAACTGAACTAAGCGGATTGCTTTCCTCTTAGTAAATAAAATCTCTTTTCTTTTCTTTCCTTCCCCTCTGTGCCCACCCTGGCAGGTTTTGGAGGCTTGCTTGCCAGTCACTGCGTGCTGACGCCATGGCACTGAGGCTCCCGGGAACGGAGTCGCTCTCTCTCGTTAGCCTTGGAGTCCTAGTCCTGGTTTTGGCTCTCCCTGCTGATGCTGGGTAAGGTGGTGAGCACTGAGGCTGTTGGCCAAGGCTGCAGTCTTCTTGTTGTGCTTAAATATCCCAGGGCCAGTACCTGTGTGAAGTAGTCCCGGGCAAAGTGCTAAAAAGTCTCTGCTGTGTTTCACCCTCCCCTTATCCCTGTCCCCATGCCTTTCACCCGGGGACTGTTCAGTCCCTCGTGGCTGAGCTGACTGATTACATTAGCATTATTTGAGGTGCTCTCACTAAGGACAGTTGTCAGCATTTTTTTGCAACAAAACCAATTTTCAGATTTGGCCTCTGCACAATTTAGTCTGGGCAAGGACTTGGCTTGGATGAGTTTTAACCTGGAAAAGAGAATCCCCCCATTTAATTTTTTTAATAGTCTTTTAAAGAAAAGAAAATGAAACTGTTTCAGCTGTTTGGCTGTTTATGGTATAACAAGCCATGAGCAGCACACCTGATCTGCTGTAGCACAGGGGGGCTCTGGCCAGCCCTGGCTGGGCATGCTGCTCACCCTCTGCCTGGGTTGGTGTCCCTGGGCATGTAGGCTCCAGCTGTCCCAGCACAGAGCGCGCTGCTACCAGCCTTGCCTTACCAGCCTCTGGGAGCCATCAGGAGAAGACGAAAGCTTGTTAGTCCGTGACAGGCCCTGCAGCCCTCCTCTGCATCCCACTGGAGCCTCTACTGAGGCTTGGTGAGCTCTTCGAGGAAGGGAGGCAGAGTCACCCCCAGCACAGCCTGCCAGCCACTGGGAGGGAGGAACTCTGCGCAGAGAGAGAGAAATGCAAATAATACGTGACTTCTATAAAAAATTTAGACAAGCCTTTAGAGTGCCAGGTATGGACACTTAAATGCTGTCTGCTGAATTACAAGTCCAGCAGCGATCAAGGATTTTCATGCATGAAAAAATGTCAGTGCTGCCACTCCTACTTCACTCATGCACCCCTCTGCATGCAGCCGTTTGCCCAGCTGCATGCTCCTACCCTGTCCTGCCCACACCACTTCACCTGCTTGGATCTAACTTTGCGTAAGTAAATGCGTCTCGAGCATGCCTTGACATGTAGATGCTGACCCTCGTATCGATGTACAGCTGCCTGCCCCTGCCTGCATAGGCCCAGACAGCCCCAGGCACTGGCCTCTCGCCTTTGCTTCCAGCCTGCTGGGGCTGGGTCCCCATCCCCATGCCAGCTGCAGGGGGGGGAGGGTGTCAGCAGCCCCTGTGCCTGCAGCCCTGCCTCTGCCTTCCCTACTGCTGCTCTTTTGTTTCTCATCACATAATCACTGATGATGCTGCCGCTGCTCCCTTGCTGCCTGCCATGTGGGTATCGCTCTGGTCCACAGGAAGATTTGTTTCCTAAATTGCGTATGAGGTGACCCTTGTTCTGAGGTTAGCGTGCCGATGTGGTAGCCAGCTCTCCAGAGAGCATGTGCACAGGGACGGGTGGCGAGGTAATGACTTTTCCTCAAGCCTATCCTGATTACATTTGCTGTAAACCTCTGTCTTCCTTGCCTAAAGGCTTTTAATTATTTTAGAACCATGATCCCCATACTTCTTTGCAGTTCCTTAGTTCTTCGCTGGGGCTTTGAGAGAGATAAATGAGACCTGTTTTCACGCCTTGCTAAAGGGCAGCTTTAGCTTTATGTTAAGGTTAGGTGAGTGAGCCCAGATCTCGGCTGGACTGGAGAATTGGCCCAAATCAGGTGCCAGGCAGAGGTGCTGCTGGCTCTCCCCTGCCTGCACCTTTCCCTTGCCCTGCCTGCACTGCTCTTTCCCCGGCGCCTACTGAGTGAATCCCACGCTGCTCCTATTGAAGTCAAAACCTCAAATGTCAAGCTAAGTAAAATGGCTTTGAAATTTGTAAATTCATTTTTCCCATTACTGCTGAGCATCCACCAGGAGTTCCTTCACAAAAATCTGTCCTCTTGCTCTTTATATTATGGGTAACTTTTAAAGATAGCTTATAAAACATTAATGAATGAGCTTTCATGAGCATGCTAGCTATTCATAAGTTATAGATGGTTATATACCCATCAGCAGACACTGGTACAGATTGCTTTTAACCGTGACATCTATTGAAAGCTGGTACAATTGAAACCTCACTAATTACAGTAGGCATTTGTTAAATTCCTCAAAATTCTACTTACCTGCAGGGAGTTCAGCTATTTCAAATATTTCAAGTCCAGATGAAAAGCCAAAACCAGTGTTTTGATTCAAATGGGAAGTCTTAAAGGCTGTGATGCAGTTTGTAGTATCAGCGGTGTTTTGATGTTTTAGATCTGACAGGTTGCATTAGGGCTGGGACGGGTGTTTTCCCAACCACGCCTCACCCCCCATACCCTATGGGAACTGCAGTTTAAGCACTTTATTACCCTTGTTGGGCTCTTGTAGGCTGAGCTTCCTGGCTTGACCACTTTTCCCATGATAGCAGGTATTGCTTTGCTAAAAAACAGAGGCTAAGCGGCCTTGTGAGAAGTGGGATCCAATCCCTGGAGAAGTGAACCTCAACCACTTGAAATGCAATTTCCCAGAGTGTTTGGTCATTGATGCCAATGCAAATTAATGTCAAAATTGCCCAAAATGGAATATTTCAATTAGCTGCAGCATGCTGAATAGTATTGATTCAGCCTGACTCTAAAAATACCCATATCCTGTTCTCAATTTTTCCTCTTTTGCTAGAAAATACTTTTTGCTCTTCTTTTATCTTACAGAAGCTGGGTTTTCTGTTGGGAGAACATTTTGAGAGAAAACTCTAAGCCAGCTCTGCTACTTGTCATCCTACTTGACCCTTCACAGAGTATTTACAAATGGACCAGTAGTGACAGGGGTAACTAGTCTAACCAGATGGGATGCAGCAGGATTAAGCTTTGAACTCCTTAAATGATACTCCTCTTTCTGTTTTGGTTTTTTTTTTCCCCCCAGTTACTTCCTGATGCATGCTTAAACCAGTGGCTGCACACATCAACTGGAGCAAGACAAAATGAGGCTGGGGAAGAGAAGAAAAGGGGCAGATGTGTTAAAAGCAACAATTTAGGGGCTTCTCTTCCCCCAGCTGTGGGGAGTGTCTCTCTAGTTTGCTGCATTCACGGTCGTCATCTGCTTCAGTGCTCCCCAGTCACTTATCTCTCCGGCTAGTGACACGGGCCTGATTTGCCAGTCAGGGCTGCCCCTCTCCTGAGGGGCTCCTTGTGCCACTGCTGAGGATCCCTCTGCTCCAGCAGCCTTTTCTCCCCCTGCCTGGTTGGGCTTTCTCAGCCATCCCACTGCCTGTCTGTACCTCTTAATCTTTTTTTGGCCTCATTGGTGTCTCTTTTATTTCCTCTTCCATTTTTCTTGCAATCTCTGCATCTCTATAGATTTTTCTTTTAGTTGTCTGTTACTTAATCTTCTGCCTTTCTATTTGTTTTGGTCCTAACAGCTATTTCTGCTGGGGGTAGCTGTGCTTGGAGCCACTGGTACTCTGTGTTGTCCGAAATCTCTTTTAGAGAGTTTCAGAAGGATTTGCAGGCTCCTTTTCCGTTGATTGAAAGGGAGACACAAAATGCAAATGTATTATTTGAGCCCCTTGGGCTTGCAAAACTGTATTGAAGATTTTGTTTGGTGAGATGAGCTTTGTTTGAGAAATTTACTACTTATTTTATTCCACCTGGGGCAGAAAATGCCCTGAGGAAATAATCTTATTTGGGGGCTTCCAGGCTTCTTGCGTTGAGCAGAGATAGGAACATGAAAACTCATTTGGTTTTATAAACAGGGAAAGTTCAACAAACCACAGAAATGGTTCACAAAGAGGTTTTAATGATGGACTTGGGCTTCAAGCCTGCTTTACTGAATTCCTACTTTTCTGCCTCCATTCCCTCTTCCCAGGGGCAGAGAACTTGGAAATGGCTCGATATGGTAAATAACTGGCGTCACTTCTTCCATGCTGCCTATAAGGAGATACTGGCACTTGAGTAACTGAGCCATAACCCACAGCCTCTGTTCATAAAATGTCCTTTCTTAGGGGCAGGCGAGGGATGCTGGGGCAGGGGAAGGCTCCCTGAAAAAACAGGGCTCCTAAACAGCTACCCATGGTGCAGCTGGCCCTGAGCATGGAAAGGTGGGGAGAAGGCAATGGGGATGCCTCAGCTTCCACAGCAAGGGTTGTGGTGGCAGAGGCCACTCCACCCTGTTGGGGAGTCTTGCAAGCACATCGCCTTATCAACAGGCATGCCCCATCCTGCAGTTCAGGGCCCACTGCAGCACAGGTGGGGAGGATTAACCAACATCCCTTCATTTCCAGCAGGTGTTTAGAGCATGTAAAGAGTAGGTTTCTCTTCTGATGATGTTTTTTCCTCTTTTTTTCCCCCACATGCCAGGCTTTCTCAGAAGCATGTTTCAGATGTCGTCGATGACAGCAAAGATAACATCACCATTTTCACCCGCATCCTGGACAGGCTGTTGGATGGATACGACAACCGCCTGAGACCCGGCCTTGGAGGTCAGTTGGGTGGAGAGATGTTTTCCCCATCTGTGTAGCTTTAGAAATGAGAGGCTGCACAGATTACTTCTTAATAAATCTGGTGCTGTCAGGAGGAGAGGCTGGTTCAGTGCCAGAGTCAGTCTGTTGCTGGTTTCCCGATTTTGAGTCTCTGCTATCTTGTTGTTTGATACTTTGTGAGATGAGAGGTGCAAGTCTGAGTGCTGTGGTCTTCTATGACATTACATTGATAAGCCTGTAGGTGGAGCAAATATGATTAAACTTATTTCTGCTACTTTTATAGGCATTACTGTTTCAGAAATGATGATACTACCAGTTTGCAGGACCTTCAACTCGTGTTGGTGTTGCTTTTTAGTCAGTGAGCTTTGCTACTGCCATGGTTTAACCCCAGCCGACACCTAAGCCCCACACAGCCGCTTGCTCGCTCCCCCCCAGCTGGCATGGGGGAGGGAATCGGAAGAGTAAAAGTGAGAAAACTCGTGGATTGAGATAAAGGCTGTTTAATAGGTAAAGCAAAAGCCACGCATGCAAGCAAAGCAAAACAAGGAATTCATTCACTGCTTCCCATCGGCAGGCAGGTGTTCAGCCATCTCCAGGAAAGCAGGGCTCCATCATGTGTAACGGTGACTTGGGAAGACAAACACCATCACCACAAATGTCCCCCCCTTCCTTCTTCCCCCAGCTTTATGTGCTGAGCATGATGTCATACAGTGTGGAATATCCCTGTGGTCAGTTGGGGTCAGCTGTTCCAGCTGTGTCCCCTCCCAATTTCTTATGCACCCCCAGCCTACTCGCTGGTGGGACGATGTGAGGAGCAGAAAAGGCCTCACTTTAATTACTGCCCAGCAGTAATTAAAACACCCCTCTATTATCAACACTGTTTCCAGCACAAATGCAAAACACAGCCCCATAGTAGCTACTATGAAGAACATTAACTCTATCCCAACCAAGACCAGCATAGCTACAGAGCCTCTATCTTGATACCTTCTCAGTTATTTCCTATGTAGCTGTCATCTGGTAAGCTTTTCTCTATGTGCTGGTCTGGGCACCGGGCAGTCAGTTGGGCTCTGCTGCCTCCTGAGCTGCTTTTAACACCACTGCCATTATAGCTACTGCTGCTGAGTTTCTCTCCAAGCACATACAGATGTTTAAGGTGCTTTAGAAAGCAAAACCATGGTAGTCACCTTCCCTCCCAATGCTTATGGCATATATTTAGCATAATGTAAGGAGGTGGAAGCAATGGGGAGTTGTGTGGGGAAGACAGACGTGAGCTTTCTTGGTGAGAAGAGGGAGACACGGACCTGTGTGGTTTCTTGCCACGGGGCATTGCTGTGGCAGAGAAGATGACCCCTCTCAGATGCCAGCAACTGGGTGCCACGGGGGCCGCTGAGGTGATATCTCTGCGCTGAGCTCCTGCTTGGCTGCAAAGGTGTGCTGCTGGACCACGATTCCCACCCAAAGCTGGAGTCATTGTGTGCTCCCCCATTCCCTGAAGGTCCTGCTGACAAGGGAGGTTGGGAATGAGCTTTCCTGAGCTCTTGCATGCTCATGGGGGCTCCAGTGATATAGTACTAGCCTGGAATTGCACCTTCCATTCCTCAGAGCAGCCTCGTTGTCTCTTCCCAGCCCCATGTCCACCTCTGTGCCATGGCCCTCTGCCCTGGACCTGTCCAGGAGTACTTTGTTCCTAAGGAGAGACCATGCAAAATCTGGGGAAGAAGGGTTTCTCCAGTGAGCATCCTCACCTCTGATGGGCTGCCATGCTGCCAGGACCCGGACAGGAAAGGGTTACTGTGTCTGCATAAGCCATCCATCAGTTTTATTGCTTTTGTTGCTTGTTTCTTTCCCCCAGAATTAACTGCGGTCCCACTAATAGCTTTGCTTCCTCAAGTCTCCCCAATGGCTGTATTGATTTAACTGAAACAAGTTCTGCAAGGGGACTGAGGGTGCATTTATGTTCACCGTAGGCTCAGTTGCAGACAACCCCATGCAAAGTATTAACAAGAGGACTCCCAGGAGCCCCTTGCTGGAGAAGTTAAAACCTTTCTTGGAACATCTCTGCTCTGTTGCTTTAGATCCTTTAATAACGTGCTTAACATAATAAATTGCCTTTGAACCAGACATTGCATGTTTAAAGACTGCTTTCGCCTCTGATTTCCCCTCATGGAGCACTCTTGCAGACCCAGATGGGAGGTTTTGACAAGGGCTACAGGTTTTGGGGGCTCTTGGCTGGCAATGAGTTGTCCTCAGTGTGTGTGTGTATGGGGCAGCCTGGTGAGTCAGGGTCTCCCCACTTTTAGCTGGACCTGTTTTCCCCAAGTCTGGGCTTTTATTCCTTGGAGGTCTGTCAGGGCTGCTATCAGGGAGAGCATTAGAGGGAAAGACCTTTCCCACTGCCACTGGTGGCCAGAGAAGCAGAAATGGTCCTGCTGCAGACTCCAGACTTAGGGGTTAATCAGATAGCCCGGGGTGATAGTCAGCAAGAGATGGGCTCCTGCTGTCCAAGGTTATGTGAGATCTGTGAAAGGGATTGCTTTGCTTCAAATTAGCAGCTGGGCTGCTGGGTGATTCAGTGACTTATAAGGTACATTGGTTTTCCTGTGAGACAGCACTGGGCAGTCCCTGTAGACCCAGCACTGGATCTCCCTGTTTCCCTTGGGAATATCTTCCACTTGCTTTTCTGGAGATGTCAGGCGAGAGCATCCATTAGCACCATGCAGTCCTGCTTTGGTGTCTGTGGAAAGGGCAGATGCGGTGGTATTGTGCCCACGCACTGGCTAATGGAAAGATGGAGTGGCCTAAATTATGGGTAACCAGGAAGCAGGACACGCAGGCTCCCTTCTTGGCCTCGGTTTCCCTGCTCTGTATGAGACAGATCCCTCTGAAAACACTGGGTTGGGATACGAAGGGCTGAGCAGGGTGCAGGACTGCAGCACCTCTCGGGGCTGTGTGGTACTGCGTGTGCCTGGGCACCTGTCCCCCTGCATTCAGCAGAGCTGTTTCCTTGTGTGCTGGGAACTGAGCAATGTTTGTTTAGGCTTTGGGAAAAGAGACTGTAAGCAACAGAGTGTTGATGTGGCGACTTCTCCCCTCAAGATAGCCTCTTTGTATTTATTTTCTTATCCCCTCTGTTTTCACCATCTGCTGCCACCCACTCTAATAGCTCCCATGCCAGAGCGCCTCTTCCTACCAGGATGCTGCAGACACAAACTGAAGCAAACCAGTGCTGAGGCTGCTCGGGAGTGCACGGCGCTGCAGAGCCAGGCTCCAGGCGAGGGTGGTCCTGTGCCTTGCTGCTGCTTCTGCCCCCAGGAGGTGGCTCAGGACATCCTTTCCAGTGAGGAGTCCTTGCACTCTTGACAGCACATAGAGGTTTGTGAGCATACTCCAGGCTAGCTTAGAAGAGGAAAGGTGCAGGGGGAAGGTGGCTGTCAGACCCCTCCTTCTACAGGAATGCCCTGTAGCACTGGGGACATGACCATTGGTGTCACAGAGAATTCTTCCATGACTGGTAGGAGATTTCTCCCTGTCTCTGCCAGGTGAGCTGGGGCTTGCTTGCTCTTAGGGACAGAGCTGTCTTTTGTTTGGCCCCATGACCACTGAAATACAGTCTGGGCTTGGGGAAGGGGTAGCTGCATAAATAGATTGTTATAGGACTCAGAGTGGGGGATGAGAGGAAGGAACTGTCAGCAGATAACCTGTGTTTCCCCTGGGAAAACACAGGGCAGATTGCTTATTAAGTCAGAGGAACAGAAATGGACCCCAAGGAGATGGAGACATCTGTTGTCATGGCCAACTTTGCAGGATAAGAAAATCTTCCACCAAGAGAGTTTCTGTGGACAGCACTGGCCTCCACTCCTGGTCTGGAGCTGTGCAATCACGCAGATCCTCTGCCCAGCCCCGTGGGGGCTGCGGTGAGGGGCATCTGTTTATAGCTCTCCAATTCTCTTTGCTGGGGTGCCCTGCAGAGCTGGCATGCAGAGAGGCCTCAGTTTTGAACCTGGAGCTTGCCTTACTTGCAAGAGTAGGAGAGAGGAGATGTGGCCAGGAGAAAGAGGTAGAACTGGCTGACAAAGGGAGAGTCATTGTATACACAAAAAGAAAAGATGCTCAAGGAGTGGAATGTGAGCAATGGGACCATGAATGATCCTCCAAGAATGACTGATGCACAAAAATACCCTGTATATCTTTGTATATCCCTGTATATCACTGTGAAAAGTGACTGAAGTTCTGCAATCCTTACATGGCCAGTGTGATGTCCAGTACAGTTACCATGAGAGGGGATGCGGTGGTTGGGTTGTTTGAGGTTCAGTGATGATGGTTCCTGTGCAGCTGTACCTCCTGCAGCCTTATTTCCTAATTGATGAAGTTTGGGTCCATTGTGCTGCAACTGAAACACAACCATCTTATGAATGCCTGGGGAGAGGCAGGAGGGGAGGTTTCCAGATTTGCCCCAGCCTTTTCCTTCCTTACAGCCTTGGGAATCCTTTTAACATGCTTTGGCAATACAAAGCTATCGGGAAGCACTTTACTGATCAGGGAGGAGGCAGGTGGGGCCTTTCCATAGCTGTTTGCAAAACAGGGTAGGGATTTATTCCAGCTTAGCCAGAGACTGTTTGCTTCACGGCGGCTGGGGGTGTGTCTGAGGTGCTATTTGGTGTGAGGATGGGGAACCCAGAGGGCATCTGGAGCAGTGGTGGACAAAGTCTCTGTATCGGGGGGGTTGGGGGAAGCCTGCACTCCATAAAACTGTTGGCCTTTTCCAGGGGATAGCAAAGAGGAAAAGATTTTGCCCCAAGGAAGAGAAGGAGAGTAGGCTGTTCAGTTTTCTAAAAGATGGGCTGTAAACTTTCTAGATAAGCTAGTTTCTCCAATTGCAATTCAAAAGTAATTTGTAGCATGTTAAGCAGCTAGGCTAGGATCGATTGGTGTTATTGCTCCTGGATACAGCACCGCTTACAAGGTAACTCACAGTATTTCCTTGAAGCTTCTACCACTTG